GATAGATAGATAGATAGATAGATAGATAGATAGATAGATAGATAGATAGACAGATAATCAATAGGTAGATAAATATACATAGATGATTGGTAAAATAGATTGTAGATAGATATATGATGGAGAGAGAGAGACACACACACAGAGAGAGAGACAGAGATGGAGACAGACAGGCCTAGATTCTTTTTGCCTAGAGACTCGTTGCTAAGACATTATCTAACCACCACTTCAGATCATTTTCAGCCATTTCAATTCTAAGATTGTCTATACCACTTCCACGGCCAGGGTTTGAAATGAGAGCTCAATGTCCCGTGAGCAGTGCTGCAGTCTTTGTCAGACTTAATGCGAGACTCAACAGCATACAAACCAGAGATCTCCAGGGAGCAGACCATGGACTACTTTTGATCAATATTTACATCAATCTCAACAAAAGTTAATTTTTCCTCTGAATTAGCACCATAAACTGCAATGGTAACTCAAAACAGGGTAAGCGACCTAGAGAAAGATCTTACTCAGAATGCAAATATTTTCCTTAATTTAAATATGCTTATACCTATACCCCAAGACATATATTTTATAATGTAACAATTTTTACTTTATTTAAATATTTATCATAAGTGATGCTTTAATAGCAATCGCATTATATTACATGGCCACACCATAATTTATTAACCTACATATGCAATAAGCAACTTAGGTTGCTTCTAATTTTCTGTATTTCAGAAACCCCTGTCCTGAGTATTACTGTATACACATTACTTTTCAAACTTTATTTCTGAGTCATTTGTATGCTAATAATTAGAATCTGTGACTAGAGGACTTCCCGACTCCTATTTTATTCTGGCCACGAGAATCTCTGACGACAAGTTGGACTAGGCAGTGTAAATACCTCTTGAGGGAAAAAGCAGGCTTCCTTTTTCTACATTTAATGATCATTCAAAGTGCTAGGTGTCATTACGGCATCTGCAATCTTCTTTCATCCCTTATATGTTTTTTTGAGGTTGAGGTACTTTCCTTTAAGTCAGGGAAACCATCTAAATTATTACCTAGTGACATCCAGAAGAGGGAATTTTGCAGGTCACATCCCATGTGTAGTTTCTTCCCTGACTCAACCATGGTGTGGCTCAGATAGCCTCAGCTGGAGTTCTCAGAAATGTTGTTCAGGTGCCATCAGGATGAGGCAGGAAGATACTTCTTACAAATTCAAGTTCACAATGGTGTGACCGAGGAATTGGTACTCTCACAGATGAGCTACGGCATCCAGTGTGTGCTGCCAAAATGCAGCTAAGTTAGGAAGCGAACCACCGGGCTACATGTTTTAGTGGGTAAAATCATTCTTTCATCTATGAAAATAAATCTCTTGGTATTAATACAGTGTAGAAAATCAAGAGCGACTCATCATCTGTGTGGAAGCTTCAACTTAAAAGGTTCCTAGAAATTAGTGCTGACATTGACAAAATAGAATGTAAATATTGTTAATAAACCAATAAGCATACTTTGAGCAATGTGACATACAAGATAGACACAAGCCTATAAATGTGGATGTGGACCAAATCCATGAAGTACTATCTGCATATCAAACATAGTAAAGGGTAGAAGACAAGCATCAAGAGGAGTTTTGACTTTATTTTGGAGTAGCTAGCCTGGCAGGCCAGGTGAATTTGTATAGGTGCCACACAGCTGTTCCTTATGAG